ACATACGAGTTGGAGGGATCGTCTATCGAATCGTCGTCTGTGTCGCCATCTGTGGAGTCTGTGCCAGTAGTTGTGGAATTCCTGGAAAGATCTCAGCGGAGAGAAACTGCGAAGCCGAACGAGGCCATACGACGGGGCGGACGTGTCATCTGCAGTGTCGTCGTCGCCGGTATCATCGCCATCATCGCCGCCAGTGGTGGTAGAGTTGCTGTACAAAGTGAGCAGAACCGTGCAAAGACCGTCTGAAGGACATACGAAGCGTTGGAGGTGTCATCCGTAGTGTCATCTCCATCATCTGTACCATCTGTAGGGTCTGCAGAACCATCCGCCGTCGAGTCGGCGTCGCTACCGTCGTCCGCGGCAGTGTCGCTGCCGTCGTCGGAGCCGTCCGCAGGGCTTGAGATGTCTTTAATCTATCCCTTATCCAATCCAATGTGAACTCACTCAGCGTCAGCCGAGTCGGCCGTGTCGCTGCCGTCGTCCACGGCAGTGTCATCGGAGTCGTCCGTCGGGCTTCAGGTGGGTTAGTTTACTCCGTATTCTATTGAATGCGGTGTAAAACGCACTCGGCGTCGCTGCCGTCGTCCGCAGGATCGTCACCGTCGTCCGTCGGTCTTGAGACTCTGTCTTGATTTACTCCGTATTCAGTAGAAGATGGACTCACGCTGCGTCACCCGAGTCGTCGGTATCGTCTGTGGTGCTTTGAGGGCATTAGTTTCAAGTCGGACGCGCGGCTGAACCAGAAACATACTCGACGCCGTCCGAAGTGTCATCCGCGTCTCCAGAGTCGTCCGTGGCACTTTCAACGGGATCAGTTCGCGCTGCATACACGCAAAAACGGCACGCACTCGGAGGTGTCATCCGCGGTGGGGTCGCTGTCGTCCGACGCGTCCCCGGAATCGAGTGAATCATCGCCGCTGCTTTTGGGTAGAGCACGGGTTAGGGTTGCGGCGTTACGCGGTATCAGGTCGGGACCCACTCCGCGTCGTCTCCGGCATCGGCATCGGCATCGCCGGTATCATCCGAGCCATCGTCCGTAGTATCGTCTGAGCCGTCGTCGACTGAGTCGTCTGAGCCGTCGTCGACCGAGGCGTCTGAGCCATCGTCGACCGAATCATCTGAACCGTCGTCAACCGAGTCGTCTGAACCATCGTCGGTCGAGTCGTCCGAGCCATCGTCGACCGAATCATCTGTACCGTCGTCTGAGTCGTCCTCACCGTCGTCGGTATCATCCTCGTCGTCCTGCCTCTTCCTATTCGCCTGCTGGACCGTCTCGCTCGCACCCTGCCGCCGCACGCATCAGCCTCAGCACACGCACAATCACAACCACGCAAGAGCCGCGGCACGCACCGCCTGCGCCTGCACCGTGAGCTGCATCGTCGCGGACGCGTCGAGGTCGAGCGAGACCGTCGCGTCGACGACGCCGAGCGCGGACAGGCCGAGGTTGATCGACGGGATGAGGTGCGCCTCGACGGTGCCCGTCGCCGCGGCCTTGGTGTCCGCCGAGAGCTTCAGCGCTGCGCGCGCCAACCCACGCAAAACCAAACCGTCAGCCCCGCGCACTGGCACACACACACACGAAACGAAACGACGCACGCGTGTCCCCGAGCTGGAAGCTCCCGGCGCCCTGCTGCCCGGACCCGGACCCGGGGGGGAAGACGAGCTGCGCGCCGTCGATGTGGTAGTTGATCCCGACGGTCATGTCGACGCTGAGGTCGAGCGTCGCCTTGGCGTTCGCGTTGACCTCGAACGTGGGCCCGATGGAGAGGATGCCTGCGCGCGTATGATGAGCGTACGTACATGTACATACATCGCAGCGACGCGATGCGTACCGGGGAAATCGAGCCCGGGGATGCCCGTCTCGAAGAGCTTGATTGTGCCCGAGTCGAGCGAGCCCTGGAGACAGCAAGCAGGTTAGCGCCACCACTACCACTGGCCATGGCATGCCGAGCACGGCACGCACCGAGAGATCCGCGGTCATATCCAGCTCGCCGTTGATGTCGGCGGTCAGACCTGTTGAAAGCGGATCAGCGCGCGCGCGCGGCGCAGAAGCGGACGGAAGACTCGCTGGCGATGAGGGAGAAATCGGAGATCTCGAGGCGCCGCGGATGAGCCGACGTCGGGCTAGGATGTGGTAGGGGCGGCGGTGCGTACCTTGGGCGGCACGATGGTCCCGCTGGCCGCGACGCCGAGGGTGACGACGGCGTGCGCGGTGGCGTCGACGTCGACCGACACCTTGGCGGCTAGAGAAACGCGGATTGAGCCAGCGTCTGAGGGAGGGAGGGAGGGGCGATGGGGCACGCACTGACGGGGGGGCAGGAGACGCTCGTGTCGAAGAGCGTCGCCTTCTTGCTAAAGTCCGCGGCGGGCAGCGCCTGCGACTTGTTGATGTCGACGGTGTTCGCGCTGGACACGGCGTTCGAGATCGCTGGCGCGGCCGCGGTGTCAGGTCAGCGCGGTGCGGGCAACAGGGGACGGGCGGGGCGGGCACGGACCGCTGGCGGCGTTGTTCACGAAGGCGCTGAGCTGGCGGCGGTTGAGGCGCGTGCGGCGGCGGGAGACGGCGGTGTCGTTCGCGAGGATGCTGTTCAGCCCGGGCACGTTTATGCCCTGGATCGCGAGGTTGACGGACCCGGTTCTGCGGAGCGTCAGCGAGCGAGCGAGTCGGCGCTCGGCGGCGCGGCGCTTACTTGGTGTTGTTGACGGCGGCGTAGTTGGTGTCGACGGTGACGGCCTGGACCTGCGACGGCTGGCCGTCGCGGCGGACGATGCGCGCGGCGATGGCGGGCGGGATGGACTGGTCCGCGGGGACCCACGCCTTGGCGATGCGCGCGAACGGGCCCTTGCCGCACTGCAGGGCGCGCGCCAGTGAGCACGCTGAATCTTAGGACAGCGGGGCGGGACGCACGCTTTCCGGGAGGCGCACGATGGTGTCGACGGCGCCGTGGCCCGCGAAGAGGTGCTGGCACATGGGCGCGTACGCGTCGGCCATGCACACGAGGCGGATGTCCTGCGTCAGCGCGGCGGGGTCGCACCCGAGGATCTGCCACCCGGCGGCCTCGGTGATGTCGCCGATGGCCGTGTTCGTGTCGGCGGACTGTTGGGGCGTGCGTGTGAGCGGGCGGGCCGGACGGATGGGATCAAGGGGCCGCGGCGACGCACGATCTGCATGCTGCCTGAGGCGGTGGAGCCGTTCGTGGTGGGGAGGTCGTATGAACAGATGCCGGAGAGGCACGGCTGGCAAATATAGTATGATTTTGGGGGAGATAGATGAAGGGTGGATGCTCACCTTTGTCCAGTCATTCTGAGCGCGCGCTGCGGCGAGGAAAGAGAGTATTAAAAGAGCAGAAATAGTCATGGTGCTAAAGTGAACTGGAAGCCAGCCTGGGCAAGGAAGTAAGCAGAAAAAAAAGAACGAATGGGCTGGCCAGGCGCAAGAGACGGCGAAGCGTCAAGGAACGTAGTGTGAGGGAGAAGGGACCAGATGCATAATGCAGACGCCATTTAATACACTTTAGACTTCGCATCAAGGAAATGTGTTGTGCCATGCGTCCGAGATCCATGCCAAAAAGATGGATCTCTGGGGTTCTTGCGGGCGCGGGGACAGCCATTCTGAGACAACGTCGACGATGGACTGGCACAGGGACACCGTCCAAAGCAGGCTGATGCACCGGGAGGGAGGGGAATCCGAGTGTTGAGCTGGAGTGGAGTGCCAGATCAATCACGAGGTCCGGGACACATTCGTGCGATGGACAGACAGGCGAATGATGCGAGAGTCCCGAGCTGTGCGTATACTGTCAGGTACGCGTGTAACGGGCGGCGAGTGACATGGTTGTGAAGGGGAAAGCTTGGCGCTTACGTGAGGACGCCAAACCTGATCAAACAAGGCAATCAAGCAGTCTTAGTAACTCTGACGACAGAGCTTGAGCTATCGGGCAACTCGGACATCCCCGAGGACCTTTAATTAACACTGTGCAATACTGGACTAATTCACACCGTTTGCTCGTCACAGACTCCAGCCTGGCAGCCAAACGCTCGCGGCATTGCTCAGGTTTCTGCCATAGTCACCGACCTTTTCCGTCAAAGACAACCTCGCCTCGACTTAAGAGATCTCGGCTAAAATTAAATCAACGCTGTCCGAGGCGCTTTAGCAAGGCTGAGCTGTGGTTGGAAAACTCGTTGCTTGAGTTTCACAATAAATGATTGTTGTACTGTTGAGTCAAAGTGTACAAATTACTCATCCCGGGGGCCGGTGACAGCCCAGTGAGCGCATCAACGCCAGTCAAAAAAGAAAATTGAGCGCACACCGCCAGCCTCGTGATTGCGATGAGGGTCTGGATGGCTTAATGTCCGAGCTCACCGCAGGCGCAACACAACCGCCGTAGGTTTTTATTGTTGTCTCACCCTAAACGTTAAACCTTTAACCCACTACCTAAAGATAGCGGGAATAGCGCCACTCACATCCCGGACACACTAAACTTGTCCTTCAGAATGGCTCCGGAATGGTGTGCGGGTACTAACATCACTGCGTGCGGCAGCACGGGGTTCGATTCCCCGTTCCGGAATGGTTTGGGCAGATGTTTTTTGCGTCGCTCTCGCGTTCGAACCTCACGTCCTCGTTTCTTTTCACTGCTGCTCAATTCCGCCCAAACTTAGGGAAAATATATTTGTCGTGTGAGGCCGTAGCCACACAACTGTATTCATATTTTAAATAAAAATTTCCCCCGTCTCATTGGGTGACTTCCCGTAAGATTTAAATATTCTGAGTACATAAGCGAGGGTGCCAGTAATCTCGGCTAAGTAAAATATTCCGAGTAAAAAAAAATTGGGGCTGCCTCCCGCAAACCATTTCTTAAATTCAATTCGTTACTGTCGGGCCGACAGTTGTTTGGCTTGTCCTCCAATCCCAAATATCATGGCCTGCATCTTACGAGGCAATTGGATTGGAAGTGTAGCTTATCGTACAATTCAAACCTGTCCTTCAGAATTCTTGCAATGACTCCGGGATGGTGTACGGGTAACATAACTGCGTCTCATGCAATGTCGGGATGGGTCTGCGGTAGCACGGGGTTCGATTCCCTGTTCCGGAATGCTGAAAGTGCAAGTATTTTTCGCGTTCGAACCTCACGTCCTCGTTTTTTTTTTCACTGTGGTGCCCAATTTTGCCCAAACTTAAGTATGGAAAATATACTTGTCATGCGAGGCCGTAGCCACACAACTGTAAGCATATTTTATTTTATTTTATTTTACATCTCATTATCGCCGATCCCGGTCGCGCAATATTCACCCGCTCGCTTCGATGAATCGATGGTATGAGTATTCAGGCACATGACTGAGGCTCGGCGATGGCTCGGGCATGTACCGGAACATACTTACAGACTCATTGTGAATCACTGTCGGGAGTTAGTAGGATTCCAGCCTCTCCAGGACGGTTCTTGGACAACTTAGGAATATAGTGGAGGTTCCTGGAACACTCAAAAGTCACTGCGTTCCGGCCCCTCCTCGGCAAACTGTACTTGGGTAAGTTTAGGTTTGCCTACACTGTGCCAAGGTCTAAACTCAGTGCCCACCTTAGCCTTTGTACTAGGCGAGGGTTTGGCCGAGGTGAGTTTAGGTGACATAGACCCAGCTTGCCTAGCTCAGCCTATGTTGGCCTATGTTAGCCCATGTAGGCCGACCTGGATAAACCTAGATGCACCTGGTTTTGCTGTAGGTGTGGCATTTCATCCTGGTATTTCATGCCCAGCATTGGTGGGTTCAATTTGACACCATGGACCTGGTTACGTTATATTACATGTGATGCCATCCACCGGCAGCTGTATGTTGTGAGCCTGCGACTTGCTTCTTCACCTGAATCTTCGCCAGCAGTTGGTTGTTGCTCCCCATCTGTGCATCCACATTCTCTTTGCCCTCGTTTCTTCCCTCCGTGTGGGAGTTGTCGTCTCGTCAACCAAGTTGAGAATTTTTGTGCTATTAATTTTTGCGATGTGATGAGATCCAGGGAGAAGCTCAGAATTACAATTCTCCGAGTCGGCTGAAAGTAGATGATGCAATACATCAGCGAAATATTTATTTATTCAGGCGGCACGTGTGGCAAAGTGCAACTTGCAATTGAACACGAATGTTGATGAGTAATGTGACTTTGAATTGAATGTGTGAGTGAGTCTACAGGAGTCCAGGTTGATTTGGCTGTGTCTTGAAAGTGGAAACTTAAAGCCGCCGTTAGGTTGTGCCTGTATCGACTTATGTTCGCTGCCCAGAATTAGTGTTAGCTTTAGATATTACATATGCTACATAACTGTATCACAAGTCCGCTATGCTGTAACTAATCTGGTTATCACGTCTAAGTTAGGAACGCAGTGCTTCTTTACGGGGATCTTGCAGCTGTCAATGCTGAGACCGCGCGGCAAGGACGCGTCTGCTACTTAGTCATATTTTAGTTAGACTTTGATTACTAATTTCCAAAGTTTCCGGCACAACATATGTATTTAAATGAGTAGTTATTTCGAATCATTATCCTTTGTCTGCGCAAAATCCCTAGTGCAGACAAGCCATCTTTTATTCCTCACTTTATTCCGTCAAGGAATTTGACGTGACATTCCATAGGAATCGGGGGGTTAATTTCAGGTACTAGTAGTAGCGGCGGCCCATCGCACAGGTGCATGCCAAGCAGTATCCGTCGATGTTAGGTGCTGCTCAGCCGTTAGCAAATCAGACGAGAAAAGAGGTCGTGAGCCGTACTGTATTTCTCCGGGAAAATGTGACTGGAGAGAGGTATTTGCCTAGGCACATGCCCGACACTCACTACTGGGCGCACGTGCTCCTGCAGGTGGTTGGATCGCAGGTAGCCGAGTGGTTCGGGCTGAATTTGCAGGCAGTGCTCTCGCAGTGAACCTTTGAGGAGTGTCAGCAGCAGTGGGTGCGACTCAGACGTAAAATATACCTCGACCGGGGGCTTGCAGCTGATGTGAGCCCGCCTCGCAGACAATATGAATAGACTCACGAGAATCTCGGCGTGGCCGCAGCGGAGGTAGTGGTTTCGCACTCTGTTATCAACGTGAGCCTCGAGCATCGTGCAGAATGGACGGCGAATGTGCTTACTGGCGCCAGCGGCACATTGTGGGTAATTGGCTTGAAGACGAGGAAATTTAGCTTGAGATGGGGATTGTTGGGCTCGTATGTGCGACTTTTAAAGGCTCGCTGAGTGCGTCTTATGGCATTTCTCTGTGAGCAGGCAGCTGAGATTAAGGCGAAACAAAGAGAGTAATTGTACGGTATGGACCAGCGCAATTACTAGTACTTACATCAGGAAAATGTTTCATGTCTGCGGACGGCAGTGCTGGAGTCAACCTGCTAAAATTGGCGAGTCCACGGTCTTGGACACAGAGAGCGCTCTCAGGCTTTGTCGTGTGAAGTGCTTTGGAAAATGGTGGCTGGAGTGGTCAGAGCCAGTGATGTTTCGCGGTTAGTCTCGTCTCCTTCTGATCCAGATGCAAGCCGTCCTGTTCAAACAGTCTTTTGTCTCAGCTCGGCGGAATGTGATGAGTTCCAGCGGTCCAGGAAAATGTCGGGGCATCAAATTTCGCCCATTTTGAACATTTGTTGCACTGATAAGGCGTGTATTTATCGCAGATCGATTCGCCGGCGATTGGCTACAACTGCACATTCCCGGCATGTGGTGGCACACAAGAAATTGAATGTGAATCAAAGTCGTATTACGCGAATGAGCGAGACCTTTAGTTGGAAACCAGCTGCAGGACCAACATCAGGAAACTGCAACATAGCATTCTGAAACACGTCTCAAAAGGTGAACTTCCATGGAATTTTATAGCGCTATGGAGTTGCTATGGAAAGCCAGGGAGGTACTTCACCTTTGCAAGTTTCCTGATGAGCAAAAAGGGGATCTACATATGGGCACTATGGGCACTACTGTATAGCATTTTTTCAACAGGGATGTAACGATGCAGCACTATTAGTCACTTGGTCCATAGTAAGCGTTTTTCCTGATGTACGAAGGTGCGGATGATTTGGACGCGGGTTGCCTACAGATGGAGAAGGGCAGATCCAAGAAGACCAGAAGTACTACAAATAACAATTCTAGAACAACTAGCGATGACTTGTCGAGGGTCTTGCAGGGTTGACAATGATGGGGTTATTCAACATGTTAGCCAACAGTCATTCATTAGCGGGACACAGACAAAGCGTATTCATAGAAAGATCGCTTTGGGTTCCCGCTCTTGTTCAGTGTTGTACCGTGATCAACCGTCCAAAGTTAAGCTGCGGACCAAGAAGTGTAATGGGAAACCGGAAAGCACGTATACGACATACTGCATTTTAACGGGGAATATCTTGGGGAATATGAACAAGAGCCACTCGTTGCACTGTGGTCGAGAGAAATCGGCACCTAAAGCGATCTTTTCGAATTCACGAATACGCTTTGTCTCTGTCCCGCTACTGTTCTAGAATGTTGGTTGTGGTCTTCTTGGATCTGCCCGTCTCCATCTGTAGGCAACCCGCGCTCAAATCATCCATTCTTCTACCGTGGTCTCGCTACTTGTTCCTAACTACTGTACATCTTCTTCGTTCTTAGTAAGTTCTTACTGCCTTCATCCCAACTGATTAAACCGTGATGCCCGTGATATTGAAATAGGACCAGCTGATGAAACCTGAAAGACGCCGAGATTTCCGTGATTCCCGTGATGCCGCTAAAGTACATATGACAGAAGATCCGTACCTCGTTTCTGCATTTATCTTGGATCGTATAGCCACTGGTTTCTGCACCTTGGACAACTTCTCTAAGTGGGTAAATCTGCTTGTTTTTGAATGTTGGGCTGAGATCAAGAGACAATTGCAACTTGAGGTTCCGCCGGATTCCGGGGCGCGGCACATGAATGAACTGCGACAATTTATATTACTGCCGCATACAGAATGGAGTCAAATCAATTGTTAACGGAGGAAACGCGAGCTGGGCAGACTCGGTCGAGACCGCCCACCACAGAGAAATTTGAGTCGCTGAAAGTCCCCGATAGAAACTCGAATCGTATTCAGATTCCATATCGACTCAGCTGAGGCAAGTCCCATAAGTTTTACTGGGGGAGAAACCCGCGCAATGCCCCGGTCTTCCACATCGGATAGAGCGTCAGACTTTTTCCCTGAAGGCTGCGAGTTAGGCCCTCGCAGTGGGCTGTTGTGTTCTTTTTCCTAGTTACAAAATTTCCTCTTTTTAACTCTTTGGACGAGTCACTCTCAACTGATAGATGAAATAACTCTTTGAGCCAGAGCTGTGCAAAATAGGGCAGGTGATCATGCCGTCCCAATCGTTATATTTGTGAATAACCGTCCTTTAGGTAGTTTGGGCCAGCAACATTTCAGTGGGCAAAGTGATTGACCAAAACCTTGTTCGAGCTTGTGGTGTGGGTGCTAGCCTCGGTAAATCCAGATCCGCCGTTGATTCGAACCCGGCGGCTGCATCGGCATCACATCGAAATACTTGATCCCCTGGAATAAATTTCTTGGATCGGGCTGTTGCTCTTCAAGTTCATTATTTAAAAAAAACAGCCGCGACCAAAGCTCTACACCGCCAACGGGCCTGGGAGTGGATTTCAGATGGGTATGCAGCCAGTAACCACCAAATATGCTGCCTGGAGTCGGGCTGCGTTGCACCTGGGCTCCGGCCGGGCTGTTCAGCTGGAACTGCCAGCTGGCGACCAGCGGGTATTCACCTGTTAGCCAGGTTCTCGCTCCAGCTGGCAGTCGAGCCGATATCATAATGTAAATGCAAAGAATACCTTCTAATATCAAGTACAGTCACCCTCATCGTCCATTTACATTCTGGGACATCGCCAGACCCGATCTCCTACTGTTGAGTTCGTGATCACGTGCACTCGAGTTTCAGACGGCGGGACTACGGCGGGTCGTTGGTGGTTCGGGTTTGGGCGCGGCGCTGGCGTGCGAGTGTGGTGTGCAGACTGTGAGGGACGGGCACTGGACAGACATCATCAAATGATGGTGGTCCGTGCGCACCTATATCAAAACAGCCGTCCCGTGATGGTTGATGTCGCGTTTCTCTTTCCCCCAGCTCTTCTGCCCC